AAACCTACATTGTTAACTGAACAGTGTTAAAATAAAAAAACAGCCATTAAAATGAAACCCAATTCCTTACAAAGTACTTCCAGATTCTACCAGTTGGTTAAGTGTTGCATTTGATGTAACAAACTGGCATTGTTTCCACTGAAATAGACATAAAAATCAAATGCCTTGTAAAGAAAATCTATTCAGACAAAGTAATTTTATATTTCTAGTTTTTTTAAGGTTTTGCATAAATAAAAGTGTATCTTACATTTCCTCCTGAGAGAATTACATCCAAATCTGCACGAGGTCAGTAAAAAAAGTGGTTAAAATCACAACTTGCTTTTAGAGAAACCAGTCTTTAAGAAAATCTATTTCAGACCATGTACTTCATGTATTTCTAGTTTTAAGGTTTTGCCATACCTCAAAGTGTATCTAAAAGTATCCTGGTGAGAAGAAGAAAGCCAACATCTGCCTAGTGTCAGTAAATAAGTGTTACAATCAAAACTTTGCCTTTTACAGTCACAGTCTTTAAGAAAATAAATTGTGTTAAAAAGTGGATTGACATTCTACCAGTTGTAAAGTTTTACAAACTGCTATCTAACCTGTATCCTGTTGTGAGAGAATTACGACACACATCCTGTTATCTCAAAACATTCTATTGCAGTATTTTATTTATGTTTTATATATATATATATATATATATATATATATATATGTTGCACTGTTGGAGGAGCCTGTGACCTGCGTTTTTCATTGACATATCTACACTGTAGCTAATGGACAGATTACAATAAAGCCTTGAAACTTGAAATTATCAAAACTGCATTGTCTCACTTAAACAGCCCTAAAAATCACAAGTAAGGGCGGCCTCATGAGCTCCGTAATGTCCCCCTAACATGGCACTTAGACTATTTTCATCATCCAGGGAAACACAACTTCAAAGGGGCTTCCTTATAGTTAATAAAGTAATTAAACAATAAAATGTCATATGATCTGATATTACCGTAAAATAGTCGCTATGTCATATTATTAAAGAACACTATATTATAGCAGGCTATCTTATAGAAGGCTATACTATTTGGTTGATCATTGACCGTTCGTGACCTAGTAAGATATTAACAGGGTTCACATGAAAGGGCTGATCAAGTCTTACATGTTGATATCAAGTCTTATCATCCCCTGTTGCGCCATATCTTTATCAGGGCTATAGCTGGTTTATCATTGAGCGATCATGAACTCGTAAGATATGAACAGGGTCACATCAAAGGGCTTATCAGCCGCTATAGGGCAACATTTGCACAAACAAGTCATAAAAGATAATGGGGGTTCAAAGGTGACCTAGTACGATATTAACAGGGTCACATCAAAGGGCTTATCAGCCGCTATGTGGCAACATTTGCACAAACAAGTCATAAAAGATAAGGGGGGTTCAAAGGTGACATACTAAGATATCAGGATTCACATCAAAGGGGCTTATCTGCCGCTATAGGGCAATGTTCGCACAAACAAGTCATAAAAGATAAGGGGGTCAAAGGCCAGAATAGATAAGAGGGTCAAAGGTCTGATTTCAGAATGACAGGTGACACTTCAAAGGGATTTTTGCCGGTTTTTGGGGGCGGGACTTCCGGTTTGGGAGGTGGGACTTCCGGTTTTAGGGTCATAAATCATTCCTTATCAGGGTCATAAATCAAAATCGGTTGTTTTTACTTTTAAAACAAGAAAACTATATCATTCACTTAATGTTATTTTTAGGTTTGTTTTGACAGTATTTGATATTCCTCTAATGTCACATGCAATAATACAACTATAAAGCAGTTTAGAAACAGTACAAAACAAGACAAAATGAAAAATATAACAACAAACAATTTAAAACCATATAAAGTTATACAACACTGAGCAAAAAAGCTACATATGAGAAAAAGTTAGATACATATAGAATAACTAATAAATAAAAGGTTAGGCTCTGTATATAGATAAATAGGTTTGAGAAGTAAAGTAACAACAAATATGAATGATATATTATATTAAAGTAATTATATGATTGATTTATCATTCAGGCTACAAATCCCTATGGAAATAGTAGGAAATTAACTTGAATGTAATAATAATACATTTGTATAGCGCCTTTTACATGGTGAACAAACAAACAAACAAAAGGGGCAAATAATAAAGTAACATTTAGATCAGAAGCTCGGCTCTTTGTTTTGTAACTATATCTGACCTCCCCCCTGTTTCCCATACAGTCATTCTCTCTCCCCCCCCTCTGTTTTCTATTTTCTCTCCCCTGTGTTCCTTCAGCTGCTGCCTGTCCGTCACTCTGCAGGCTGGGTTTCGGGGGGTAAAATCTCTGCGAGCTTCTTCTCTGCAGCAGTCGGCCATGAAGCTCCAGCCTGCCGCTCTGATCTCCGTCTTCCTCCTCGCTCTGCTCTCAGCTGGTGAGTTTGACATTTCACCCACACATTTTTTATAGTAAAACAGCTTTTATCCAAAGTTTGAGTGAGCTAAAGTTTCATTGATGTGAGTTTTTGAAGGCCCATACTGACTATCGTAGTATTAAAGCAGCATATACGCAGTCGAAAATATTTATTTGATTTAATTTCTATGCTAAACCATCATTTTCTTCGATTCCCCCCCCCCTAATTATTTGCTCAATGGTTAGAAAAAGTTGAAATGTTTTAAAAAATACAATTTTAATTGTTTCCCCCTTTATTAAATGCTTTCAAGGTAAGAAAACACTGCTTTATACATTGTAACACAGGACAAACTAACTCTCCTCTAAAATGTTGTGATTTCAGCTCTTTTCAGGGAAATGATAAACACTTAAGGAGTCATTAGTTGATTAAATAAGTCGATCAACAAAATGAATCGTCAACACATCTGAAAATTGAGTATTTGATTTAAGTCATTTTTAAAAAGCAAAAATGCCAGTAATTCACTTGTTTTAGCATCTCAACGGTAGATATTTGATAGTTTTCTTAGACTGTCTTTATAATTGAGTTAAACATCTTTCAAGTAAAAAATGTCTCTTGTAAATGTATGAGTTTGAAATACACCATTTATATCTGAAAGAATGTTTTGTATTTTAACCCTAGAGCCTTTTTTCAATGACTTTATAATCTCAGAGAAGATATACCAGTTCGATCTCTATTGAGTTTTATTATGTAAATGTAGCTTAAGGAACCTTTAAAATGCATTTTAAAAAACGATATTATATAGATTTATTCATCATCCGATTGACCAACATTTTTAATAATCATTTGTTTTCAGAGACAGGTAAAAATAAAGGCAAGACTTGATGTTGATACAGCATGTATTGAAGCTGTGAGGATCCTTTATGTTATCAAATCAGTGGAGGACCCTGACTGGGCTTTCATTTCATAATATTCAATATATATATATATATATGTGAGAATAAAAACAATCATGGCCGCGTAAAGAGGGGAAGTGTCTGCCAGCTCTCGCAGTGTGTACACTCGGTGGTGTTACAGCAGCAGTGTAGTATTCTGAACACAGAGCAGCTGCCACCACGAAATATGACCGGCGTGAAAGTATTCACACACGACCCTGTTTATTTTCTAGAGGTGGAATGTAAGTACATTTAATCAAGAACACATTCAATGTCCTTTGAATATTTCCCTTTTACACAGCGTTATACTTCCGCTCCTTTACTTCTTGTTCTTGTTCTTCTTAAGCTAAATATAGTTTACAAAAAGATCAGCTGGAAAATGCACTGTCACAAAGCTGAAAACAGGGCTGTTTTTCTGAGACACTTTGTAAAGATAAGTGTTTCTCCTAGCACAAAGCCACAAACATATTTACAGAATATGATGCATTTAACAGTTCATAAAGGATTTAGGTTTGTAAAATGCTAAGAAGCATGTGAATAAAGTCTGAAGATTTATGAACACATTTCTGAATAATTATCTTCAAAAGTTCATCGAAAAATGTCAGAGAATTGAATACAAAATGGAACCTAAAGGACCTGAAGATTAAACTAGGCCGCAGTATATGAATGAGTGAAAAACAACTAAATGAAGCCTACATATTGATGCAGCATTGATATTAATCCAATAACATTATATGTATTTTTCTTTTAATACAAAATCTATATTTTCCTAAACTACATTTTGCTGCTAATATCGCATGTTCCTAAAGATGAGGGTGGATTTCTTTGGATTCATGACTCTAGTAGTTACTGGTGTTTTTCTGACTTTAATGTGAATTGTGTGTGTGTGTGTGTGTGTGTGTGTGTGTGTGTGTGTGTGTGTGTGTGTGTGTGTGTGTGTGTGTGTGTGTGTGTGTGTGTGTGTCAGAGTGCTGGTGCAGGAACGAGGAGGAGCGTCTGATCAACTTCCTGATTACAGAGCAAGGATACAACAAAGAGCTGCGACCCGTAAAGAGGCAGCAGGATGTCGTCGATGTTTACCTCGCCCTCACACTCTCCAACCTCATTTCTCTGGTACACACTGTGTGTGTGCGTGTGTGTGTGTGTGTATTTGGTGCTAGTCACATACTGGATTTGAGCGTGCATTATAGGTTTATTTAACACAAACAATAAAGGCATAATCTCAATAGACACTCAAATCCCACATAAGGATTTGGAACTGGAGCTGCCAATGAATTATCAATAGACAGAATACATATTTGACATCTAGTATTTTTGTAATCGATTAATCGTAAATTCCATGCAAAATTGCTTGAAAATAGTGTTTTCATCCTCGAGTGTGAATATTTCAAGATTTTCTTTGTTTTCATATCATATTAAAGTGAATATATTTGGGTCGCTTTTAAAAAATAATTATTTTAAAGACAAAACTGGAGTTGGGGATTGCACGCATTTCTTATCCAAAACGTAATTCATATTATCAAATATAGTTACTATGAAGCCTATTTGAAAAAATATATTTTGTTTTTGATGTTCCAGTTTATCGTTAACAGAGTAGAAGTTTGTTCTGTTCTAATATTATAAAATGTTTCTATTTGTAGAAAGAGGTGGACGAGACTCTGCTGACAAACGTATGGATAGATCATGTAAGAAATGATATTCTGTCACTTTATGTTGAATCCCTGCATCTCTGTTTCTACTTTATCTGATGTTCTCATTCATAACACTCCGTTCGATGTCTCACTATGGGATGCGCCTCGACGCGTATGCAAACAGAAGCATCAATCTCATTACGCCAATCCTGATTGGCTGGTGATCTTGACGTCTACGTCAGGGAATCCACCCACCTATAAGTAGCTTGCGCTACGACGCAGCGTCATTCAAACACCTCTTCTCGCTTCAGAGCACATCTCGAATTATCAGTAGCCGGGCTAGCTTAACGGTCCACAGACTGAACCCAAAGCTAACATTCGGTCGACGGGCCCTTGCCGGTTACTTTTTTGGTTTGCAAGAAGACTGAACAATATTAACACACCAGTTAATATTGTAATCTGCCTCGCCGTTTCTTTCTTTCGAAATTACGGTAAGATTTGAGTTTTTCTTCAAGCTGGTAACATACCTGTTGCTAGCTTTTATTCCCTCCACACCGACACCACGGTAGAGAGGACGTTCTCTTTTCTCTCTCACACCAGAGGAGACGGAGATAAAAACAAAAGGTATTAACACACCAGTTAATATTCCTTAANACCAGAGCTGAGGGCCAGAGAGTGAGACTCACTCACACACACACACACTCACACACACTCACTCACTCACTCACTCACTCACACACTCTGTGGTCTCTCAGGAATGAGAGACCACAGAGTGTGTGAGTGAGTGAGTGAGTGAGTGAGTGTGTGTGAGTGTGTGTGTGTGTGAGTGAGTCTCACTCTCTGGCCCTCAGCTCTGGTAGGTCCAGGTACCAGTGTTCGTCGCTGATGATCCTCCGCTCGTCTTCCTCCAGTTGCTTCCTCGTCTCCGCATCCAGACCCCTCTGCATGAACTGACACACACACACACACACACACACACACACACACACACACACACACACACACACACACACACACACACACTATATGACTACCTTTGATTGCAGGACTCTTACTTCTAACAGAGTATTTGTACACAGAAGTGGAAGTCGAGTTAAAGATAAACAATAATAATAAACCACGTGTGTCTCTCACCTTCATGCGCAGCAGGTTCTTCGAGAGTCTAGAGTCAGACATCTCTGATACACTTGAATACACTATGATATAATACACTGTAGTATACTAAAGTGTATTATGGCACTAATATACCTGCAGGGAGATCTACGGGACTCTGAAGCTAAAGGCTAAGAGCACGCGCAGCTGCTGCAGACAGGAGCAGTCGATCGCAGCTGCTGCAGACAGGAGCAGTCGATCGCAGAGCGGAGGGCTTACTACCGCCCCCTGCTGTGCGGAGTGAGGAGCAGAGACCAGGACAAAAGATGCAAATAAAGAAAACCTAATAGATCAGATAAAAAAGAATGATCTTCATTTATCAAGTATTTATTGAAAAGAAATGTAAACAAATCTGACAGTTTACTGAACATCTCAAATTCCTGTTTCTGAAACTATGACTTTTTCACAAAATGTTAAGATTAGGACTTTTTCCTGATTTCCTTTTTTTTATCTCAGAATCTTGAATTTCTTCGGAAATTCTGATTTTTTTATGAAAATGTCCAAACAGAGACATCTGTCGGAAATCATAGAATTCCGTTTTTAATCTTAAAACTCAGACTTTTTTTCTCAAGTCAAACTTTCTCTCATGATGTCAGACTCTTTTCTGAAAACTCTAAATTCTGAGGGTTCGGTCCCGTGCACCTCAGACTGATTGCTGATTGTATCCTCTCACTCTCAGCTGGCCTATCAGCAGCCAGTCAGTTTTGTTTCAAAGGATAGCTTTAGAGATAGGCCTTGTTTTGTTATATGCATTTCTTTTATTTGGCACAATGTCCTTTGTGCAGGATATCAGTATGAGAAAACAACACCCTCTGTCCTTAGACCCTCTGTCCTTAGACCCTCTGTCCTTAGACCCTCAAATCGTACAAGGAAAAACTTCCAGAGAAAACCCACAGTTTAAAGGGGAACATGGGAGAAACCTCAGGGAGAGCAACAGAGGAGGGAGGAGGGATGCCGTGTGTAAGAGATAATACATGTTACAGCGTAGGTAGACCGAGTGTGTGGAAATGCATGTGTCTATAATAAGGAGATGAATCCACGAAGATGTCAAGAACAATCCTGTGGGAGCCTTCAGGGAGGCAGCATGACGAGACGCAGGCAGGACCGCAGAGACAGGCCCAGCCACGACCCGAAGTCCACGACTTAATCTAGGACTCAGGAAACCGTTGAAGCAACGCAGGCTGCCGTGTGGAAGGGCCGTAAGTCTCATCTGGATTCATCTCCATCGTCTTGGGTCAAAGTTCCCATGGCAACTTAAAAATCCAGACAAATTCCAGTTTTGTTAGATTTTTAAAATGTTCCACTCAAAAATCTGCAATCTCAACTATTGGATTATTTTAAGGCCCGGAAACCAGTGGCGGAGCCAGGACATGTTCAGTGGGGTGGCCAGGATGGAACCAGTGATCATTTTGGAGTGGCATTGAAATCACTATTATATGAACATAAAAATACATCTCA